CAGTTTCAGGGATTTTGATCCTTGGAGTCACAGGCCCTGTTTTGGTTGTCTTGATAAAGCTCAAAAAGGTTTCTTGTTTAGAGACGCACCTGGGTGTGTCAGACCAGGCTTGGTCATCACTATATTCATCGTCCTCAGTATCATCCTCATCATAATCATCTTCATAATCTTCATCCCCCTCCAGGAATTTAGTGAATTCTAAAACAACACACCAGTACAGCCCTAGATTGTCCTTTTCCAGGTGGGAGATTGTCAGCGTGTGGCCATTCTCAGTCAGTCTACCCCTCAGATCCTCTGGGATGGGAACAGTCTTGTCGTTTGAGTCATGGATAAGTTCATGTTCACCTGATGGTTCCAGGCGATACCACTGCACACTGTGGGAGTCATATTTGCCAGCATCACAACCCAGCAAGACGTCCCTGCCTTCAACAACAATTTCTTCTTGGAATTGCGTTTTGGGGCAATGAAATAGCGAGTACTCAACGTAAAGAGAAGAGGAGATGCATGAATAGTCCCCCCAATGTTCATCAGAGACTGCAGGAATTATCAAGGAGAAGTCCTCCAGATTTTCACCAAACGACAAGTACATCCCACTGTTATTTATATTGCTACCATTGATTATCCCCAGTGGTGTATTCCATTCCTGCTTGTTACTATCAGAGGGGCAGTTTAGTACCAGTCTGTCCCCTTCAGAGACAAAAATGTCCCTGGTGTCACTGAGGTCTGGTAGGTACATGTTTTGGAAACCTAGACAATCCTTACCTTTGATCACAAGACAGTAAAACTCCTGGCTATTCTTTATCATGCTGTTATTAATCAAGAGCAACGCCCCTCTTTCCCTGACCTCCACAACACCCTGCAGATCCTCCACCAGTGGGTCCAGTGACACACTGCTGTCCAGGAAGAGTGTGACCTTATGAGACGGAGCCATTTCATGGTACCAGCGCACATGGACTCCCTCCAGACCAATGGAAGTGCTGTTGCAGAGAAGCTCAGCCACTCCCCCGTCTTTCTTGACAATGATCTCTTCAGATTGAATCTCCTCAGTGCACACAAAGACCTCTTGTGTCTGCTGGTTGACTCGTGTTTGGTTCTGCCAGCATTCCCTCCTATAAATCCCTGAGTCCATGTATGTGAGGTGACTGATCTGCAGCCCGAGCAGGTGCTGTTGATGGCTGATGTTGATACGATCCTGGAAGTCTGTAGAAGGTGTGATCGGCATGTTGTTGGCTGAAGAGTTGCCAAGCAGCTGGTCTCCCTCTTGAGTAGTTCTATAAACAACAATATAATCCACTCCGAAACAATACCCCATCTCAATATTGCTGCCCTCTGCTTTGAAGACAGGCTCTGCCTCCTCACTGTGGACCTGGTGGAGGAGCAGGAAAAGCAGAAACTCCAGAAATCTGATGGAGGTCATGTTGTCCGTCTTTCCCGGGCCATGTGTTTATCACACACTGGGAAGTGTGCTTACAGTACTTTGGTTTGTCACTTTCGTTCCGCCTCCAACTAATATCAGTTTCCTCCTCTTCCACATTCTTCCACAGAACTACACAAAGAGTGACAGGCGCAGGTACACACAGACATAAAGGCATCCACACTGGCATGCAGACACACACCTACACACACACACGCACACACACACACACACACACACACACACACACACACACACACACACACACACACACACACACACACACACACACACACACACACATACGTACTCAAGTTAATGAGTGACAGGGGAGGGTACTAAAGTAATTAAAGTCATCTACGCAATTGTGACTAGTCTAAGACAACCAATAAGACTAAACAAAAGCCAAGAGATAGACCATAAAAATAAAATTATGATCCTTATGATCTTGGTTGTACATTTACTCTGTTGATGGGCAGTTGAACAGGTTTTCTCACAGCTGTGGGTGTGGTCGGTCGCCACACAAGGTCACTAGACAGCAGTTGGAGGGAGTGTTGCACATGTGTTTTTTGTGGGAATTCCGTGCAAGCAAGCATGATTGCATATGTGCAAATGCATGAAACAGTGCTCTTATTCAGTCAGCACCTAATCTGAACTAAATCTAAGAGTATGAAGTAACCTGTATCAGATCTCTGATGCCTGGCAGTTACCATCGTGTTATTTGTTTTGCACCATGAGGAAACAGAATAGCTTTTGCACATTAATTTTTGTGCTTTTTATCAGATGGAAGGAACTATTTATCTTGGTTTCACATTACACAATGAGCAAGAGTTGAGTAACATGATAGTCAGCAAAAAGCTGTTAAATTAAAATGTGTCCTGCTGCATTATGACACCCTCAAGTAAACAATATTAAGAAATAGAAACATTTGTGCTCATCAACACTTCGTCTAGCAGGCTCATAATGGTGCACTAATAACAAATGTGTTTCATATTGATCATATTATGTTAAGTTTCGAAATCATAACTCTCATTGCTGATGTGTAATCTGGTTTTTAATCACACAACATAGTGGGGGGAGGTTGTATAATCAGTTGATACTAAACAGCTACTGTTTGTTTCACCCTTGTTTCAGACGAGGAAAAACTGGAAAAAATGGAACAACAGAGGAGGAATCCTTCTCCCAAGATGGACAGACAGGAAATAGATGTGTGTATTTTATAGACCAACAAAGTAAAATTACAGTATATGGACAATCAGGAAGACAAAAGTATAGATTCATTGTGAACATATAGGAAGAACATGGACACAGAACCTCCTCTCCACCATTGATACCTGAAAAGGACAGACTACACAGACTCACAAGAGCTCAAGCACAACCTTTCACACAGATATTAGAATAACTAGTCATATTACTCGACTCTTGCACTCTTTTAAGCCTGATGTAACAGCTCTTTCTAGTTAATAAATAGGACACTATAACTGTACGACTGCAGTCAAGGTTAAATGCCTGTGTCTACATTGCACAACAGGGAAATAACCTCTTGATAAAGCAGACACTCTATCTCTCTCTTTCGGTTTGTTAAGTCCTGAAGGGTGTATTTTGGTGACAGAGGACAAGTACATTGTCTGGGAAAGTCCCGTACTTTACAGCCACCTGCCCAGGCGCTTGGTCAGGTGGTGGTTTTGGAATCATGTTGGGGAAATTACACTATTTGCTTTATGAGGAGATGTATAGCCAGATTTAAAAACATGGGTGATATTAATGGACTGTGGGGAAACACTGTGACGTCTATAGCTGAAGGGGAGACAGTGAGATGATGTATTTGAAAGATGTCACCAACACACAGATGAAACTTTGGTTACATCTATGTGCTGCTAACATCTCCCTTATTGTTTTTTTTTTTTTTTTTGATAATGGTAGTATTCTCTGTGTTTTGGTGACAGCGGTGTCTTTAATTGTTGTGCACCCCCCGCAGCGTTGAGTGTTACCACAACATGTTCACAGTAAGTATGTAGCAGTTAAGATTTTCATGTTTAGGCAAGTTACATATCTCACACCAGCTATACATTTATCAGACTGACTCAGAGACTGTCTTCAGTATGGAGAGGGTCATACTGTATCATAAACACATCATAGAGCCTAAATTGGAGGATTCTACTTAGAAATTGACAATAATATTCATAGGTATGTTTTCCTTAGTGTAAAATCAGCCCAGGCTGGGTCCTTGCTGCAGCGGACATGGGTTCGGCTCCGACCTGCAGCTTTTTGCTGCATGTCTTCCCCTCTCTCTCTTTCCCCCCTCCTGTCATTCTTCAGCTGTCACTGCAGATTAAAGGCAAACAAGAAATAAAAAATAAATAGAATGAGCTGTTTATATCTACACGGTCGCCTTCCATGGAGTCCGCCATGTTGAATCACTATGTTTCTAAATTACCCCAGAAGGTACAGACCAAACACTGGCTCTAGGAAGGGGCATTCACATTTTTCAAACGGTTTTCGCCACCGCAGTTTGCACTTGGAATGGGAGGGTGAAGCGAGGGAGTTGCGATCTGTAACTCCATTGCTAGATGCCACTAAATCATCCACACTGGACCTTTAAATTAATTAGTTCGACATTCCTGCAGAAACCAATGAGCACTGCAGCAGAGAGGGTGGATACTGATTGCGTGACTTTGCTCAAATCTTGGATAAAAGCCTGGGAAACAGTTAACAGGTTGACTGCAAATAGAAGAAGAGTGAATGAAACTGTTTACTCTCCAGGCCCACATGTTATTTTATACACCTGCTTTCCGATGAAAACACATGCAAAAACAACTCTGTGTCTCTCTTATCTGTGTTTGTGCTGCTTGGACACGATCTGTCTGAGAGACACAAAGTGTTACTAACAAGACTGTTGGTGCACTCTGATGACCAGCTCACTCCTGTCAACATATTGGGTATTAAAAAAGAAAGAAGCACCAACCTGTTTTCCTTTGAGGCTCATCATCTGTTTACTAGTACATAAACTATAATGAACCCAGCTACCCACTCAGCAGCAGCAGCTTCCGTGCCGCTGAGGGAACAGCTTGCAGAGCTGGTGATCAAGCATCATGATTAAGCACCAACTGCGAGAAAACTCTCCGTGTGTTCAGTCCAATTCAGCCCTGCGCTGATTACACTCATCAGGGCCCCGTATGCTGCAGGGTTTGGAGGCGCACCAACTGCTGTTTGAGATAAAGATTTTTGCCAAAATTATTTAATCACTGGACATATGGGCTGCAATAAAAGAGCCGGGCTTTGAAAAGAGGAAAGAAATAGGGGCAATGGGAGTATAAAATCAAATAACACACATTTCGACAGCGTTAAGGACTTTTATACATTCCACATAATTTTTAAAATAAAAGAGAGAAAGAAAAAAGAAAAAACTATTTCAGAATCACTTTTGAATATATAAAGATTTAGTTTGTGCTGCTTTGTGCTGCAGTACCCGTCCCCGCACCTGCGTGGCGCTGTGGTGCGAAAGACAACGCAGACCGACCGTAGAAGAAGAAATCCGTTTCATAACAAACGTCACTTCCTCTGACCGCTGCTAAAGGTAACTTAACTCTTTTTAATTAAACACTATCGATATGCTCGCTAAACATATTTACACACCACTGTCGACAACGATATTATCAATTTTAAAATCACGGGGTTGAATCACGTGATGTCGGTGACGCAGCGGCGCAGCTCTTCTTTCTTTTTAGCAATTAGCTGACCGAAGCTAAAACACACAGCACTTTTATTTTGAAATCGTGGACTAAATGTGCCTTAATTGGCTTAATTGTGACAATAAAGGGCCTCACGTCACACTATGGTTCTTTGTCGTAGTTTCGTTTAGTGTCGTGATTGACAGCTGGTCATTAACTGTGACTGATGCTTTTCCACTTTCCCCTATGAAACATCTGGCACCAGCTGTGCATGGAAACCATACAAGGGCTTTAAAGAGTGGCATTAAAACAACAACAACAACCAGGTCAAAGCAGGGAGATTCAATTACAACGTGCTTTTACTAGATTTTTTATCAGTTTACATAACCAGTGTGTTAAATTAAAAATAATACAGGTTGTAGTTTTAAGGCTTTCAGGTGGAAAATGAATAATGGAGGTACATTTCTGTTAGTATTCGGTCAATACTTGGAAGGTGGAAGTTCATATGAGTAGCTCTACTGAGTTTGTTGAGAATGAACTTTTTTTTTTTTTTTTGTCTGTGTGAGTCAGTGACATGTTAACAGGAAGCTCCAGAAATATCCCCCGGCTGTGCATAATGTCAGGTAGATATTGTTGTACTGCATAATAATGATGTAAATAGTAGTCCTGATTGTCAGTCTCCTGTCCTCATAGAAGCACATGACCCTCCACGCCATACCTCTGACCATACAGAGCATCACCACGGCTACCGTATTGTTGGATTAATGTTAGAATTGTGTTACCGTGCCTCCCTGCAAGTCCCCGCTCAACCTGTCGTTATCTAACTCCCTCTGCTACTTCAGAAGGTGAAGCCTGTATTTTTAGTAAGTAGTTATTTTAGCTGCCTGCTTGGTTGTCACCCACTACAGCTTCTTCTTCTCTCGCCGCCTTTAGGTGACCAGCTTCAGGACTTTGCGTCAATGTTGCGCTTGATAGCAACATCGTTGTGCCTTCGGTGCCAACGCGTCACAGCTCTGCCTTTGAACCTAAGGCCATGTGCAACACTGAGCTCGGCAGAGAACCAGCAGACAGTGGAGGAGCTCTATAATCTCTCTGTTGACATCCAGAAGGTCCGGAAACTTAAGGGCTGGGTTCTGCATCAGAGACCAGCCTACACTAAAGAGGTAGCAGATCTGCTGAAGGACATGGGAGCCTCGGGTTCCATCATTGCTGGGATCCTAGCGGTTCACCCTGAAGCGGTCCTCTGTCACCCAGAGCAGATGCAGGCTCAGAGAGAGCTGTGGATGTCCGTGTGCCCAAACCAGAAAGACCTGGTTGGCATCATTGAGAAATTCCCAGCCTCCTTCTTCACTTCCTCCAGCCACCATGACAACCAGCAGAACAACATCGCTTACTTCCAGAGCTTAAACCTCAACAAGCGAATCATCACCAAGCTCATGGCCAGCGCTCCTCAGAGCTTCAGTCGGCCAGTAGAGGACAACGAGGTGATGGTGCGCACCCTCCAGCAGGCCTACCAGGAGCTTGGTGGAGAGGAGGCCAACATGAAGATCTGGCTTCAGAAGCTGCTGAGCCAGAACCCTTTTGTCCTCCTCAAGCCTCCCGAGGTGCTGAGGCAGAACCTGCTGTTCCTGAGAGACAAGGGCTTCAGCACGGCAGAGCTCCTCCGCCTCCTCTCTAAACTTAAGGGCTTTGTCACCGAGCTGAACCCGGACAGCATGCGTCGCACCCTGGCGTACTCCCAGGACACGATGGGCTGCTCCGAGGAGGACCTGCGGCACATCATCCTCAACTGCCCGGCTCTGCTTTACTACCCTGAAGTTATTCTGGCTGAGCGCTTTAAGGGTCTCCTCAGTGCCGGCATCAGCATGTCTCAAATCGTAGAGACTCCGACCGTTATGGAGCTGACTACACAGATAGTGAACTACCGCATCCACCAACTGAGGACGCATGGTTATGAGGTAAGGACAGGTAGTCTGGATGTCCTGAATGGCACTAAGAAGGACTTTGAAAAAAGCTATGAAAAATTACAACTACGTAGAGAGAGACCAATTTTCAACCCTGTTGCCCCTTTAAAGGCGGATGACTGACCGAAGCTGTATGGACGAATGCAAATGTATTAAATAATTAACTGGATGTATTCTGTTCTTGGGATTATTTATATCTTTATGATATCAATATCAGATTAAAGTGTCTAAAACCTAAAGGGTGCACCCACTTCTTTATTTATAATCAGATATATGTGTTCATTTCTGTAGTTTAATTAGACAAATTACAATTTTGCCATTTGAACTTGACAGTGTAGATGCCTGAGAGTGCTACAGAAAACAAACTCAAAATGCTAGCTTTAATGGATGTAAATAAGGGCTTAAATACAGTTTTCCTCCCCATGTGCTCAAAACTGATATGAGGGATCACACTTATTTTTTCAAGCCCCGGTTTTCCTCTAATTTGGCAAATGCAAAAATGTATCAAATTAAATTATTCACTTGTAGTTCAGACCAACACAAACCCTATTTATCAGTCAGTCTGATGGCATTTCAAATGAAAAGCGGCACACTTTTATGCTGCTGTAAATTCATGTCTTAAGAGATGAGGGTGGTTATGTAATGACTTCCCAGAGTGATATCAGGAAGTGAGACAAATGCAATGGCGTCTTAATGTGTCATGCTTTGATGTTGTCCCTTGCCAAATAAAGAATTTATTATAGCTTATTTACAAGTTACCTAATCACAATAACTTTCCATAATACACTTCATGACATAACTGTGTAATGACAGACATGCTGACTCGTCTATCAAATGTAATACTATATAGTACAAGCGAGGACAAACAAGGCTTTGCAAACCATTTTATTTACAGCCTGTGCAAGTGTCTCATTTTCGCAGTGTTCTTGGCAGCAAACTGTTCCCCTCAGGGAGGAAATCTAACTGTGTCTCAGATTTTTATTGTTACTTTACAGATGGAGACACTTTATTATAGGCTATTTCACTGCTGAAATGTCACTTTATTATAATTTCAAATGAATTCAAATGTACCCACACAATGCGATAAAAAAGGAAGGAAAATGAAGTCCCTTTCATCTGAATTGGAAGTGGTTTATTTGAACGCACTCTGCAATCTTTATTTAAAAAGAAGTTGATTTATGCAAAATAGATGTTCCATTATGTTTGGCTTTATTAATAAGGTATTCATGTCTATATGTGATATGGAGGTAAAAAAGACTACATTTGGGTTAGTGCCCATATTTATTTTAGTATAAGCCACAAAATCAATATACAATCTTACTAAGCATTGTCTAAACCAAGAGAGGGCATTTTAAAATGTGCCCCTGTCTCATTTTGAATATGTCTTAAAGTTTCAAAGCCAGCAAAGCCCTTGAAACATGCTTTTTTTTTTTTTTTTTTTTTGCTTTTTAATGGGAGTGAGCTTCCCAGCTAATGAAGCCATGACTTTATGCCTCAAGGTTCCCTCGCTCTCGTAATGTGGACGATGGGGGTCACAACAAAGGAAGAGAAAGAGGACTTGTGTGTCCAGAGGGAGGGGATGGAAGGATGGGGGGGGGGTCATATACGTTAACAACTTCCACTTCCCATCTGCTGCCGTCTGCATCACTCAGCACGGCTCTGTAGTCATGGCGATAGCCACTGGGCAGATGATGCGAAAGTGAGTGCATCTGGTAATGAATTTGAGCTCAGCAGATGGATGCTTGACTAGTGTTCATTTTCGAACCATTCACAACTTGGAACCCCTGAGGGGCTACAACAGTACCTCAAGTATTGCAGCTGATGTACTGAAGGGTACTAATTTTACTACAGACATCAGTGAGGATTTCTTTAATCATATTGCAAGGCTGTGTCTTTCAGTGATGCTGAGTAATAAATACAAGGAGTTAATCAGGATGTTGCAGATAAGGCAAGGCCTCGGGTGTATAAATGCAGGTCACCTCTATTTCTTACCCACTGTCCTCTTGTCCTCTGTCGACGGCTGTATCGTTCCGCGCTGTGCTCTTGAGTTACACAGCAAAGCCAGAGAGGTTAATAAGAAGGAGTATAAATTGTCCTCTTTCATTTCAAACATGACACTGGTTGATATTAGCCATGCTTAACATATTGCTTTTATGGGTCCTATCTCGCCAGAAACAGATGACATCTGCAATTAAAAACTATGATTTCCACCTTAAGCCAGAGCATGGACGAGCACTGCTGCAGAAGATATTGTGAGTGTGAGTTAAAGGTCCAGTGTGTAACATTTAGTAACATCTGTTGGATCAGAAATGGAATATTATATTAATTGGTATGTTTTATCAGTGTATAATCACCTGAAAAGAAGAACCGTTGTGTTTTTGTTACCGTAGAATGAGCCGTTTTTTACTACACAAGGGAGCGGGTCCAAAGTCCGCCGTGTTTCTACAGTAGCCCTGAAAGGACAAACCAAACACTGTAGTAGTATCTCCTACACAATTGGAAGACTGCACTGTATTCATATGGTTGCAATGTGCAACTTCACGGCTAGATGCCACTAAATCCTACACACTGGTCCTTTAAGCTTAAGTCCTTGAATTTTTATTAAGATTCAGACATATTTATTTGTTTATTTATATATATAAGAAGCCAATGAAGGAGCACCAATAACATGATATAGTGAAGGGAAGAAACACCAGAGCAATAACCAGTTATTCTAAAATAGACAAATAAATCTATTCAGAAATCCCAGTCTAGTTATTCCGTGTACACAACTTTTCTCTCCCCACCGACACCGGAAAGTTTATTTTCTGTCATTACTCATCTCCCAAAAGTGACTTCAATCTGCACTCCAATGAGACAACATGAATATACAGTACATGCTGCGGGAGGAAAATAAATGTCACATTGATGGACGTTCAATGCACAAAAGGTAAATAACTTTCTATATTGAACGTTGCTTCTGAGCTTCACAACTTTGAAACATGGGCTCCTCTGTCAGTACAGGTAATTTGGCCTGTTGTGAGGTGCAGTCCACTGGGATCGTGTGTCACTCCATCTTGTGAGTCATTCATGTCGGATTTTATAATGTCACTGACCATTTAAAGCAGCCTCCTTTTGAAATCTATTGAAATGCACTGTCACGGTAGGAAAAGCACAGGTGTCACGAATAAAAATGTATTCCATTTAGCTGCTTCAGATTAAGGGTCCTGGTATTGTGCATGCTGGCTTACTGTCACACTGTCATGTCTTACTGGTGTGCTTTTCCTACTGTCAAAAGTCAAACTCTGCTGTATACAGCTCTGTTTATTACTCATTGTATTGGACTTTTTACATAACTATGCTCCTTTTATGTTTGGGTGCATTATGAGTTGATGAGTTTCTGTATTAGAGTGAGTTTGAAAAGCACAAACGTGTTTAAAAAAATCCTTTAGACGGACTACAATACTCCACTGACCTCTGCTCATGTTAATGTTGGGTGGGAGCTATGCTGTGAACCACCAAACTCCATGTGATCATAAGGATGTTTTTGCTGCATGTTATGCAGTGGCAAGGATGAGAAAACACAGAAGGCTAAAGACATGATCTTAAATGATACTCAGACAGAGGCTGGGAATGTTGCTGACATGCAATACAGTCACATACCTTTATCATGTGTTCAGATTTTGGAGCTGACAAAGGTGAATGCTGTCTGTCTAGTTCTCATAAGTCAGTGTAATTATAATGATGATTTGAGGGGAAAAAGGGAGGCAATAGGAAACTTCCAGAAAACTAAAGTTAAAACCTTTTCACCTCAGATCTAACTATAGACAGTCTGTGAAATCCCTCTATAAGCTGTCATAGGCTAACTATATTTGTTTTTATTATCTACTTATATTGTTCGGATATTTAGTAAGTTAACATGTAATCCAAAAGATAGCTTTCTGATAGTGTTAACAAACTTCCAGAAATGCCTTTGGATAGAAGCTGGGGAAATCTATTGATAATCAGTCACTGGCAGCATTAAAGGAGGCTTTCTGTCCCTTGTCTCATTGATATACCTCCATCTAGTGGAAGAAAGGATCACATACAACCAGAGGAATATGGGTAACTTTCAAAATGAAAAATAAAGTCACAAAACTGCATTTGTTCTCTATTAAAAATGTACCATTTGTTTATTTTTATTCATAATTTCACCCAAAAAAACCCCAAAACAGTGAAAACCATCATCAACAAATTCCATTGCTAACCACAAAAGAATTACAAGCTGTAACATTTCTCCATATTTATTTAAATAACAAGATAGCCATTATATTATCAAACAGACCAGAAGGCTAATTTACTTGTCACTTTATAAACTGGCATCTGTCATGTTGGCTTAGAAAAGACCAGATCCGCTGTGGTACCCAGAGCACAGGCTGTCATTGACGTAGGCCGCTGACTGACTCACTGACAAGCATATTCTCCGAGCAGCTGCAATATTACTGAGGAGGAGAACGAGATGGGAACGCTGACGAGTGACAAGGTGACAGCAGTAGGTGGCAGGAGGTTTTTCACATACCAGAACCGATCACAATCAAATGGAATGCTGTTAAAGTGTCTGTGCTCACAATGTTTTCATGTCAAATGGTTCAAATGCTTCATGGATTACAAAGCTCAATGACTATATTACAGAGTTGTCGCCTTTGCTTGCTTTTATAAAAATACAGTGATACACTTTGGGTTTGGGTTTTAGCATGACTCTACAGTCTATCCAGGAGTTGACTCAGCAAAGAATGTTTGCAAGTGTTTTCTGAGGATGCATTGATTTTCTCTGTTAGTTGTTTACACTGTGTCACCAGTCTCTCTCTTGAATACTTGGCATTTGTACTTGATGCCGTTCTCCTCTTGAATTCCACTCGGTACCCCGGGGAAACTTGTTTGGAAACAAAAGAAAAGTTTTGTGAGTTCATTTAAAGACAAAAATATAATGCATATATAATGTATGAACAATTTAATGAAACAATCCCAACACTAGTAGACCCTAATGATCTTTAAAACCATGAAATAGGATATAAATGAGCTTTTATTGTGCCTGTAATGATAAAAATCTGCATAATACCAAGAACAGGCAACCTTTAGTGAACATCATTTATTCATTTACTATTCAAATGTAGTGCAATTAAAGTAAACTTGCTAATATCATAGCAACCAGCGATGGTGATGTCAGCAAGTCCTTCTGAGCTGAACTATTTAAACCAATGACAATACAGTCTGTACACAGTCAGTGCTGATGTTTGCTTTGTAACAAAAGAAGAGCCACTCGTGCCTCTCTTCGTGACCGGGTTTTATATTTAGACTCATGCGGAAGCCATTATCAGGCAAAATCTATGTAGCCACTGTTTTGCTTTCTAGCCAGACTTTAATAACCACATTCATAGTCCAGTGGTTGGTATTAGTTTATAATCACTAAGATTGATTGTGTTTTATTTACCTTAGAATGAGCTGTTTTTACCAGTCAAACCAAACACTGCTCTAGATAGGGCCTTTTGTGTATTTTTGCGAGTTTCACGGCCACTGTGGTTTTTCCTAACTCTTGTAACGCGAGCGGTATTCAGGTGTTTGCAACTTCACTGCTAGATGCCACTTAATCCTACACACTGGTCCTTTAAAACAGCCAAGACTGACCAGAAAGGGCTTTTTTGTTATTCATCGCACATCTTTTGTAAAACACATGACATAAACACATACTTTTCTAGTAGTTTACACAGTCCTCTGTCAAACGCAGGGAAGAAAACATCGCACTCAAAGTCTGCCATGACATCTGTCAGGTAAACCAAGTCACACCACGGGTGCTTCAACGCATCCTGATCAAAAAAACAAGAAGCAACAGAGATTCTGGTCACATTTACAGTATTAACAAGCAGGATTTTCCATGTGTAATCTAGCACAGTATTAACACAGAAGAAATCTAAGCTGGACAAAACGTCTTTGCATATTAGTGGCTCCAAATGGTACTGGAATTTAACTGTTTCCTTTCCAGCCCTGCTGCTGTGGGATCATTTTAAAAGTTAAAGCAACACTGAACTCCAGGCTGCTGTTAGGCAGAGCTGGGAATCACAGCAGGCCACCAACTAAATGTACTAATACAAATAATGCATAAAGGTGTAGGTCCCATTCTAACAGAAGCAAGAATACTAAAAGAGAAGTAGATGTAAGTCAAGCACAGTTTGTACACAAACCCAAAACTTAAAACAGGCCTGGAACTAATTAGGCATAAGTGAAAACACCTGTGGAGGTGTACTTTAAACTGGATTTCTATGTCAGTACTATCTTCTAGTCTTCATTCAGAGATGGGTCTCATGGGTCAACACATCCCACATGAGAACCCCCATATTTTTGAGTCAAACATGCTTCACCAGTTTTGCTAGTTTACCTCGAAGACCTGCGTCCCACCAATAATCCAGATGGTCTCAATCAGGTCAGCGAGAGGGGGCTGTGAAGCCAGGCGGACAGCACTCTCAAAGTCTTGGCTCAAGAAATGGGCGTGATCTGGAACCGTCCTGTGAGAGGAGGAATGCCCAGCAGATAAAAAAAGATTAACAACAATGAAAACCCAGGACTGTTTTCTGGATAACCCCAAATATCTTTTTCCCCTTGGTGATGCAGATGCTTGTGCGTGAGAGCACTCACTTCAGTTCTGTACTCAGAACCACATGCAGAGTATTGGCCAGCGGGAGTGTAGTTTCTGGGTGAGACTGCCAGGTCCGTTTGCCCCAGACCAAGAAGTTCATCTTTCCTGAAACAGATACAATAAAATGTCTGACACTAAACCCCACACCTCAACTACTGCAGCTCTCACATCTTTTCTTATGGCACAAAGCACAGGACTGGGTTTCAAAATTTCATTTTATATCATAATATTCTTATTTTACGGAGAGTGTCCCTTTATGACTATTCCAGTCAGTTAAACTTGATACTTGATACTTGAACTACATACTAAAATAAAGGTGTGATTTTGGCTCCAAAGTTGTAAAGTTTTTAATGAAACCCAGGCCTGTATGAGGTGGCTATAATACGACGCAATATTACCTGGTCTTGACACCGTCGTCAAAGTCTTCAAAAAGAACTGGAATTCAGATCTGTAAGAGTCACATTTTCAATATTAAATTAAGCAGAAAACAGTCAGTAAGTATTGCTGCGTGTAGTTTCTACATGGAGCAGAGAACACCCTGGTGGATAAGACCTATATAGTAGTAGTTATAACACATCAAAACACACAGTATCTTCCTTTTATTTTCAGCATGCTGCTTGTACCTTCGCAACTAGTGCTGTTGCTTTTGTAATTTGTCTGTTAAATATACCCAACTTTTCCTTTTTTACAGCTTCTCCTCTGATCACAGCTGCTTTTCATTTTATCATGATGTAATTTTCTCTCAGTTTTTGGCTTTTGAGGCAGTAAAGTAATATTTATTATCATAATAGTATTATTTACTTCTACAATGTGCTGTAACCTGTGCAATATTCTTTTTTTTTTACTTAAATCACATCTGTATAAAAATACTGCATATAGTGTATACACAACCCTAATTCTATTTCTTTCTTGATATCTTGTATTTTCCTATTTTATTGTGTTATTTAATGTGTATTTCTTTTTTTCTTGTCTGCTAAATTATATCTGGAGCTGCTGTAACAAGTCAATTTCCCCAGTGTGGGATCAATAAAGTCTATCTTATCTTATCTTATACTTATCATCCATCATTTTGGGCTCTTCTGGTCTACCTTTATAGATCCGTTGATTCATTAGAAATAATCCATATTGGAAAGAGTCTTTGCAGTTTATCTAAGAGGCTGAATAAACTTTTCCTTAAAACTTGACATAGAGGTTTGCAGATTATAGAATGATTACTGACTGCCTAATGAGTTTACATGTATAATATCAGGATAATTGCATGCACAAGCTACAATCTTTAGTAACTAGTCTGAATAGAGCATTTGAAGTCCTCATCACATATAGGTTCACTCTTACGGTAGATTCCAGGGCAACTGCCCATCTTTCGCGATCCCATTGCCATTGCAAACTGCTACGATGAGGCGAATAGGTTTCCTCTGCACGGTTTCCATCTTCTACAGGCGCTCAAAGGAAAACAAACCACACAGGAAGCTGAAGACCCGCAGAAGGTTCTGATGGAGTCAGTGTGCCGGAGCCCCTTTATTGATCGGGGTCTGAGCTCCGCTATCACCGCCCACCGACCGGCAGCTGCTATTTGACACGGTGGAGTTTGTCCCCACCCCGGGGGCCTGCGTGATCACACAGCAACGTGACTCACTCATGAGAGGGCTCCCCTATCATTAAACAACCATTGTTTACCAATAGTATTTTAATTAAGGTATACTGTATTATTTTTATACAGTTTGCAAAGCGTAAAAATTCCAATAAGTTGCGCCTTTAGGACACTGACATTCCCAAAAATAAACCTCCTAACACAAAAAAAGATTTAAAACAGTGAAAACATGCAAAAATAAAGTCTCCCTCCAATATGTTTGGCAATGAACACATGTAAGATACATAGATAATATCCCTACTATACTTACAAATTGGTATAAAAGTCTGTACCTTTTAGGAAAACAGGATAAAAGATCAACACCTACATGGAAAAATGATGTGATAAACAACAAACTATGGCTCAAAGTTCACAGAATGCTGATAAAAGGCAGAAGCACTACCCTGGTTTTATTATTTAACAGCTTTTAATCACAGTGGATGATATTTCTGACACTGATTAACAGTAACAACTCTTAATATCAAAGTGAAAACAAATCTCTATAAATTAATCAATTTAGTAAAAATATAAAACACAAAATGTTATTTTGTGTTTTATATTACATTACTGTAAGGGAAACACAAGCCCATTGAGATTGCAAATTATTTAAAAGACATAAGACAGACTTCTGTTCCAGCAGATCAATTAGCACAGCAATCACAGGGTTTTTGAACAACAATGAAGTAGGACAACGGATGTGGGAATCGTGGCATTTAATGGGAATGTTTGAACTGTAACTGAAGCATCACATGGCCAGCTGAGATCAAATCTCAAGAAGTCATGCAGGATTTACATAAATGTCATACCATGGCATTCTTTTTGTAAAGAGACAGGTGGCATTATAGTGCAAATAACTCAAGAGGGTACAACAATGATTGTCTTTTATTACCTTTTTTAATACAGTTAGAATTTGGTCATTCTTTGTAAGGTACTGTTGCCAGCAGGCCTGCAATGACACCAGAGCATTGATTTACCAACAAGACACGGTTGTTTGTGACAATGATAAAGAAACATTCATTTCTTCTTTGACAGGGTGTCATTTTTCAAAAGAGCCCCTGCAGCATCTGGCAGACTGACAAACATCAGTATGTTCTGTCTTTAAGCAAAGCTAATGGATAAGTGGACATTCACAATGCTGTACATTTATAGAATTATAACAAAATCATCTGACACCAGTTGAACACCAAGGTTTTAACACCGTAGCATGTGAAACCTATAAATACTGCAGGCCAACAATGCCAACATCTAGCTGTTAATACTGGGGTTTGACAAAGACAAGTTGACACAGATGTGCATGGATATTATTTGCGGGGGAGAAAATGTGACTATTAGAGTTGTCAAATGAACCTTCTGAGCCCTTTTAGGCTCTTTATTTATGGGTTTATGAGCTTGTTTCAGTCAGCCAGTTTTTCTGCTTGTTTGATTATAGCTATTATTATATATATTATATTATATTAATATTGTATATATTATTATTATCTATTGTTGTATTTTATTGTATTTTAATGTACCTGGCTGCTATGATGCCCCAATTTCCCTCTGGGGATTAATACAGTCTATCTATCTATCTATCTATCTATCTATCTATCTATCTATCTATCTATCTATCTATCTATCTATCTATGTAGCTATAAGAAAGCAGCAGAGCTGTTACAGGGATACCTTTCACCTGGCCCTTATCGATCACACTGCAGTAGCATTTATCTAGTTGTGGCGTCTTCTACGGCAGTATTGTGTAATGCACATTTGTTAGCCAAAGGGATTGCTCTGAAGCAAACAGCAGGTTAGCTTTTAGATCTACAGCCCAACATCATAGTGTGTAGGGTTGATTTCATAAGGAATCCTGGATTGCAGGAATGACTAAAAATGACTTAAACCTGATGGTATATTCAATTTTCTTTGAGATCTTTCTATCTGTATAAAAATAGGTAGCATTCCAGATATTTAAAAATACATTAAAAAGACTGCATAAAAGTGTGAGTTTGAGGTAATATGGGTCATGTTCTTACCCAGTCCTCTGTAGCTGGAAAGCTGCTGGTAAATTTGCTTCATCCGCTCTATGTTGACGCGGCTGGCTTCAGCATGGTTCACCATGGGCTTGGGGTAGTGAACTTCACTTGGCTGCCTTCTGCACTTCCTATGGGGCATTCCAAGGATCATAGATGTCATTAAAGGAACTGCATTAAGCTGGTTTACGTCATACTTATCAGATCGTTTGCAGTTTGTACATGTTAACAATGAATCTTCAATAAATACTACAGTTAGTCATGGAGTTCCACAAGGTTTTGTACTTGGACCAATACTATTTACTTTATATATACTCCCTTTAGACAACATTATTAGGAATCACTCCATTAACTTTCATTGCTATGCAGATGATACGCAGTTATATCTATCGTTCAAGCCCGATGAAATTAATCAATTATCTAAATCTCCTCATCTACAAGGCTCTTCATGGTCAGGCCCCTCCATATCTTAAAGAGCTCATAGCACCCTATTACCCCACTAGAACACTGCATTCTCTGAATGCTGGGCTACTTGTGGTTCCTATAGTCTCTGAAAGTAGAACAGGAGCCAGAGCGTTCAGTTACCAAGCTCCTCTCCTGTGGAACCAGCTTCCAGTTGTGGTTCGGGAGGCAGACACCCTCTCCACATTCAAGAGTAGGCTTAAGACATTCCTCTTTGATAAAGCGTATAGTTAGGGCTGGATCAGGTGAGTCCTGAACCATCCCTTAGTTATGCTGCTATAGGCCTAGACTATCGGGGGATTTCCCATGGAGCACTGAGCTCCTCTCTTCCTCTCTCTCTTTCTGCACTCATTCATGTCCCAGTAATGCATGTTACTAACTTTTTCCCCGGAGTTCTTGTGCTTTCTCGTTTTGCAGGTTCTCATGGATCCTGGTAGTGCCTCCTGCCATAGTCCTGCTTTACTGCTATTGCTAATATCACTGATATTATTGTTATTATTATTATTACTACAGTTACTATTATTACTATTGTCACTGACCATTGTCCTCCATCGTTGCTGTTGTCGTCGTCATCATCTTCTTCATGTTCATCATCATCAGTCACTACTATTAGTGTAGTTGTTGCTACTGTTGTTGCTGTCCAACTGTCTGTCTGTCTGTCTGTCTGTCTGTCTGTCTCTGTCTCTCTCTCTCTCTCTCTCTCTCTCTCTCTCACCCCAACTGGTCGAGGCAGACGACCACCCACCTACAGCCGAAGGGTCTGTCCTAGGTTTCTGCCTCTTAACAGGCAGTTTTTCCTTGCCCCCGTCGCCAAGTGCTTGCTCATGGTGGTACTGTTGGGTCTCTGTAAATGTTATAAGGAGTTCAGTCTAGACCTGCTCCATTTGAAAAATATGTCCTGAGATAACTTCTGTTATGAATTGGCACTATCCAAATAAAATAATATTAGTTTATGATTCTCGGAAAAAAAAAACATTGATATTCCCCAAAGCTGTATTTCTAAACTATCGCACACATTCAGGCTATTCTGTGAGATCTCCTTTTTGATAACTAATGTAATAACCCATGTAATATTTTTCACTTCCATTCACCGTCAACCTCTGGTGTGGATAATCTGATCAGCTACGCTTGTTATTATTGGTCTTGTGACTGAAATCAGTGTAAGGAGGTAATCTCAGCTGTATAACCCATTATAAATGATCCTTCACCCTCTTTGGTTCCAGGTTTTTGTTGCATTGTTTAGAGGACTTGGACAACAGCCTGCGCAAACTCAACTCACGCTTGTTTGTCATCAGAGGCCAGCCTACAGATGTCTTCCCATGTCTTTTTAAGGTATGAGAGATGAAACAGAGTAGAAGATGGCGTCTTCTACTTTTTGATCATTTAAAATAGTATTATAGCTCATCAAACGGTTTTCAGATTTTGATACTTAAGTAAACTTGTGAAAAAAAGAAAATTAAATCACTTATGACCCCAGTAACATATCAAACAACCTCACACCACGCAGTTATAAGTTTAATCACTCAGAACCAGTTTGTTGTAATGGACCAATCAACCATTGACATTGTGATCACTGTTACTCTATAGGTCTTTTTTTTTATTTTATTTTTTTATTTTTTTACATGCATTCATTTATAAAATAAAACAACACATATATAATATAATTGTTTGTATTACTTTGTTCCCCAGGAATGGCAGATCAACTGTTTATCTTATGAATACGACTCTGAGCCATTTGGCAAGGAACGTGATGCTGCCATCCAAAAACTGGCCTGCGAGGCTGAGGTGGAGGTCATGGTGCAGGTTTCACACACCCTCTACAATCTGGTCGAGTGAGTATATGTTATTAGTTGAAACAAATGATCTTACAGTGATGAACCTGTTTGAAACAATGCGGATTGTCCCTACCTGCTTCTTGTTTGTGTTTGTGTGAAGATTTATATTGATTTGTGTTTCCTTATATTATTTTCTTTTCTAAAGGATCATAGAGCTCAATGATGGTCACCCTCCTCTTACATACAAGCGCTTCCAGGCTCTCATCAACCGTATGGATGCTGTGGAGATCCCTGCAGAGACGATCACACTTGAGGTTATCAGAAATTGTGCCACACCCATCAGTGAAGACCATGATGACAAGTTTGGGGTACCCTCTCTGGAAGAGCTTGGTAAGTTTTTATTTTAATTTTTTATTTGTAACTATCTGTATGTTGTGTGCATGAATACACTGGTTGTGGTGTATATAAACAAACACTATCCAGCATATATTTCACTGTCGGTTCTTGAGTCTTACTTCTATATTTTGCTTTTTCAGGCAAACAGAGGGTCTGACCACAGCAATATGGCCAGGTGGAGAAACAGAAGCCCTCATGCGGCTAGAGCGGCATCTGGAGAGGAAGGTAAAAAGACGGTTACCACATTGTATATGCACAAGTTAAGAAACAAATATAGTTATTAACTCTGGCTTTAGCTAATTGACCTCTCACCAAGCTCAAGTCATATCATTTAACACTATGACCCATTTTGTAATAGAAATAGATACAGGTAAAGCACGATGACGATCATATAACACATCTTGCACACATTTGGTCTTCCTTCTCAGTTTAGTTGCTTTACTTCTTCAATAGTTTCTAGTTTTTTTATGTGCAAAGATTGGAATTAGCAAAATTTGTCTGGTTTTGAGGCTGACTGACCATCTCTTTTGCAGGCATGGGTGGCAAACTTTGAGCGTCCACGTATGAACGGCAACTCCCTGCTGGCCAGTCCCACAGGTCTCAGCCCCTACCTGCGCTTTGGATGTCTCTCCTGTCGGCTCTTCTACTTCAGACTCACTGACCTGTACAGGAAGGTACGAATGACCAAAGACGAGACAGGAAGCAACACAAACAAATTATATTCAGAATAAGGTACACTGAACAAAATTATAAACGCAACACTTTTGTTTTTGCCCCCATTCATCATGAGCTGAATTCAAAGATCTAAGACTTTCTCTATGTACACAAAAGGCCTATTTCTCTCAAATATTGTTCACAAATCTGTCAAAATCTGTGTTAGTGAGCACTTCTCCTTTGCCGAGATAATCCATCCACCTCACAGGTGTGGCATATCAAAAAATATTGAGAAGATAGGGTTTTTTTTGTGTGGGTTTGGCTTGCCTTAACAAAAAAAAAAATAAAATTTTTGATTTTTTTTTTCTTCCAACAACATTATATTTTTTTTTTTTTTTTTTGTGGGGGGTTTTGGTTTGCTTTCTTACTGAAGGTATTACCTCCAGTGTTGTTTCTGTTTTATTTATTTTTTTTTTTTTTTACTTTATTTTTTATAAAAGGTTTTTTATTTTTTTTGGTATTTCATCCAACCCGCCCCACCACCGCAGACCATGTGTAACCACACCAGCCCAGGACCACCACATCCAGCATCTTCACCTCCAAGATCGTCTGAGACCAGTCTACTGGACAGCTGCTGCAACAATCCGTTTGCATAACCAAAGAATTTCTGCACAAACTGTCAGGAACCGTCTCAGGGAAGCTCATCTGCATGGTCGTCGTCCTCATCGGGGTCTCAACCTGACTGCAGTTCGTCGTCGTAACCGACTTGAGTGGGCAAATGCTCACATTCAATGCCGTCTGGCACTTTGGAGAGGTGTTCTCTTCACGGGTGAATCCCTGTTTTCACTGTACAGGTTGATGGCTTTGAAGAAATTATTGCAGTTAACTGATGAAGATTGACAGCAGAAAAACATTCTAAATAGTTTATATTAGTTAAAGTTCCTAAACTTGGAGAGCCACTGATAACTGTTGTTGGCATTTGGTGACTAATTTTCTCTCTAAAAGTAATAATTTTATTATAAAAGAAGCTCATGAAGTCATTGCTACTTAAGGTTATGGGGATATGTGGCTCAGTAGAGTTGTGATTCTCTGTCAGCCTGGCTGCAGTGCTGAAGAGAAACCTGGGGTTGTTCTTATTTTTTTCTGTTAGTGCTGAATAATAGGCTCCTCTGGCATTATGGAGGGCCTTTCTATAAATTTTAAGATTATCTAAAAAATCTCAAATTGAGCGATATTCTAATAATTTGGAAGAGCGCCATTTCCTTTCAGATTTGTTTTTTGCTTCAGTTGGCGGGTTTGGTGGTTGTACCACGGTGCTAGTCTCCTATGTTTTAATAATTTCCTTTTTATAGGAGTGATAGAGTCTAATGTTGATCGTAGTGAGCCTGCAGCACTATCAACTAGATTGTCAATTTCGGAGGGACTAAAGTTATTATAGGACTGTTATATTCAGACATGGCATTGAATTAAACACTGATGGAATCTCCTCCTTACATTTAGCTACAGCACTGTCAGATAGACATCTGCTGTAGGAAGTTTTGCCTAATGGCTTATAATCTAATAATAGAAATTCAAAAGTTATTAAATAATGGTCAGATAGAAAAGGATTATGTGGGAAGACTATTAAATGTTCAATATCAATGCCATATGATCGAACAAGGTCAAGAGTGTGATTAAAACAATGAGCTGGTTTATATACACTCTGACAGAAGCCAATTGAGTATTAATGAGATGAATGCATTACTAAGGCTGTCATTGTCAACATCCACATGAATATTAAAATCACCTACAATAATTACTTTATCTGATTTTAGGACTCATTTAGGCTAACATATTCCTTGTGGGACAACCAGGTCTCAGTAATACAAAGTAAATCAATATTATAATCTGATATTCACTGAAACAGCTTTAGAGGACGGAGAACTGATATTTAACAGTCCACATTTCATTCTTTTATTTTGTGCTACTGAGGAGTTGGTTTTAATTTTTATTAGGTTTTTATGTTTAATTCCTCTTGTTTTGATTTCTTTAAATAAATTAGGTGGTCGGGGGACAGACACAGTCTCTATGGGGTTTGGGTGGGTGACTGTTCTAATGGAAGAGCAGAGAAGTGTGTAAGACAGCAGCTCTGCTTCCTGGTCCCAGCTCTGGACTGTCAGGTTTTAGAAATAAACTTTGCCATATTCCTAGACAAGAGAGCCGCTCCATCCAAAGTGGGATGGATGCCGTCTCTCCTAATCAGACCAGGTTTTCCCCAAAAAGGCTGCCAGTTATCTATGAAGCCCACATCGTTTTCTGGACACCACCTCGACAGCCAGAGGTGGAATGACGACATGCGGCTATACATGTCATCACTGACAACTTTAACTTAAATGTATAAAACTAAAAGGTATTTCACAAATGTGAACATATATATGTGGTCATCCACTAGCACCAACACAAGAAAGCCAGAAGATGACCATCATTTAATTATCATGTGATACAGACTATATATTTATATAGAGAGACAAAAGTATATGAGTGTATATGAGTGTGAACAGGGAGCCCTCTTCTGGTGAAATCTTTGTAGACACACAATCCACCATACACTGCACTTAACAGACAACTACAATAACACAGCAGAGACTGCATTGTCTATAATCAACGTCATTTCTTAACATTTATTACAGTGAGAGGCAGAAAACATAGAATGATGCTTCAGCTTTTAAATTGAACCTTTCTCCTCTAATGCAACCAGCACAATGACAAAAAAAAACACAACTTGCCAAGAAGAGACAAACACAGCACCCTCATACTGTTTATGCATATTATGTGAAAGTAATTCACACCCAATGCCCAATAACTCATTAATTTGCCTTTTTATTAGTATTGGACCATTAATTAATGGATTATTATCTTTTAACCATTTTCTTTTCATTTTTTCAATCAAGAATCAGTTCCAAATTCATCACACTGAGGATTTGTTAACAAATCTGCCTTTTGATACTGTATGTTATTCGTTCCTAAAGACAAGTTTAGACCTAAAAACCAAAAGGCCAGAACGACTACTATTGCTAATTTCTACTTATTATATTGAACAATTATCTTTCTATTGCTATTAATGAAGTGTCTATTGCAGATATTGCCATTGTTTTATTGCCCAGGCCTAACCTGAAGTTTGAATAGTTTGTCAAACTATGATTCTCTTGTCCTGGGTTAAAATGGAGAGAACTGAGATGAGGAAAGGCACTGCCATAAAAAATGGATCAGATACAGTTAAATATACAAGTGATGTTACTGTATACAGAGGCTCAGCAGTTATATTGACCGCCAGTAAACTAAACTAAATGAAAAGCGGCCCACAGTGATGTTGGAAAATGTGAACAATGTGGATATATGTGATAAACAGAGTGCACAAAGTAAATATGAGTGAAGAGGGTGGAGTGAGGGTCTGGTGAGTGTGTTTTAAATGTAGGTCAAAGCTGTGAAGGGGCATGATGATGATGATGATGATGATGATGATGATGTAATGACCGCAACAACACACTGACCCAGTTTCTCAGCTCAGAAAGCTGAAGACATGACCTTAAATGATACTCAGACAGAGGCTGGGAATGTTGCTGACATGCAAAACAGTCACATACCTTTATTATGTGTTCAGATTTTGGAGCAGGTGAATGCTGTCTGTCTAGTTCTCATAAGTCTGTGTAATTATAATGATGATTTGAGGGGAAAAAGGGAGGCAATAGGAAACTTCCAGAAAACTAAAGTTAAAACTTGTGTTTTTACTTGAAGCTTTCATATTTTTCACCTCAGATCTAACTATAGACAGTCTGTGAAATCCCTCTATAAGCTGTCATAGGCTAACTATATTTGTTTTTATTATCTACTTATATTGTTCGGATATTTGGTAAGTTTACATGTAATCCAAAAGATAGCTTTCTGATAGTGTTAACAAACTTCAAGAAATGCCTTTGGATAGAAGCTGGGGAAATCTATTGATAATCAGTCACTGGCAGCATTAAAGGAGGCTTTCTGTCCCTTGTCTCATTGATATACCTCCATCTAGTGGCAGAAAGGATCACATACAACCAGAGGAATACGGGTAACTTTCAAAATGAAAAATAAAGTCACAAAACGGCATTTGTTCTCTATTAAAAATGTACCATTTGTTTATTGTTATTTATAAAAACAAACAAATTCCATTGCTAACCACAAAAGAATTACAAGCTGTAACATTTCTCCATATTTATTTAAATAACAAGATAGCCATTATATTATCAAAGCAAACCAGAAGGGTCATTTACTTGTCACTTTATAAACTGGCATCTGTCATGTTGGCTTAGAAAAGACCAGATCCGCTGTGGTACCCAGAGCACAGGCTGTCATTGACGTAGGCCGCTGACTGACTCACTGACAAGCATATTCTCCGAGCAGCTGCAATATTACTGAGGAGGAGGACGAGATGGGAACGCTGACGAGTGACAAGGTGACAGCAGTAGGTGGCAGGAGGTTTTTCACATACCAGAACCGATCACAATCAAACAGCAATGAAAATAATTCTATAAAATAAAGAGTAAATACACATAAATACTTGGAGATAAAACTGGAATGTGGTGAAAGTGTCTGTGCTCACAGTGTTTTCATGTCAAATGGTTCAAATGCTTCATGGATTACAAAGGTCATATTTACACTAGCTGGAATGCTCAATGACTGTATTACAGAGTGTTGACAAGAGAAAGTGTTGCCTTTGCTTGCTTTTATAAAAATACAATGATACACTTTGGGTTTGGGTTTTAGCATGACTCTACAGTCTATCCAGGAGTTGACTCAGCAAAGAATGTTTGCAAGTGTTTTCTGAGGATGCATTGATTTACTCTATTAGTTGTTTACACTGTGTCACCAGTCTCTCTCTTGAATACTTGGCATTTGTACTTGGTGCCGTTCTCCTCTTGAATTCCACTCGGTACCCCGGGGAAACTTGTTTGGAAACAAAAGAAAAGTTTTGTGAGTTCATTTAAAGACAAAAATATAATGCATATATAATGTATGAACAATTTAATGAAACAATCACAACACTAGTAGACCCTAATGATCTTTAAAACCATGAAATAGGATATAAATGAGCTTTTATTGTGCCTGTAATGATAAAAATCTGCATAATACCAAGAACAGGCAACCTTTAGTGAACATCATTTATTCATTTACTATTCAAATGTAGTGCAATTAAAGTAAACTTGCTAATATCATAGCAACCATCAATGGTGATGTCAGCAAGTCCTTCTGAGCTGAACTATTTAAACCAATGACAATACAGTCTGTACACAGATAGTGCTGATGTTTGCTTTGTAACAAAAGAAGAGCCACTCGTGCCTCTCTTCGTGACCGGGTTTTATATTTAGACTCATGCGGAAGCCATTATCAGGCAAAATCTATGTAGCCACTGTTTTGCTTTCTAGCCAGACTTTAATAACCACATTCATAGTCCAGTGGTTGGTATTAGTTTATTATCACTAAGATTGATTGTGTTTTATTTACCTTAGAATGAGCTGTTTTTACCAGTCAAACCAAACACTGCTCTAGATAGGGCCTTTTGTGTATTTTTGCGAGTTTCACGCAACACGTCTTTTGTTATTCGTCGCACATCTTTTGTAAAACACATGACATAAAACATAACATAAACACATACTTTTCTAGTAGTTTAAACAGTCCTCTGTCAAACTCAGGGAAGAAAACATCGCACTCAAAGTCTGCCATGACGTCTGTCAGGTAAACCAAGTCACACCACGGGTGCTTCAACGCATCCTGATCAAAAAAACAAGAAGCAACAGAGATTCTGGTCACATTTACAGTATTAACAAGCAGGATTTTCCGTGTGTAATTTAGCACAGTATTAACACAGAAGAAATCTAAGCTGGACAAGACGTCTTTGCATATTAGTGGCTCCAAATGGTACTGGAATTTCCTTTCCAGCCCTGCTGCTGTGGGATCATTTTAAAAGTTAAAGCAACACTGAACTCCAGGCTGCTGTTAGGCAGAGCTGGGAATCACAGCAGGCCACCAACTAAATGTACTAATACAAATAATGCATAAAGGTGTAGGTCCCATTCTAACAGAAGCAAGAATACTAAAAGAGAAGTAGATGTAAGTCATGCACAGTTTGTACACAAACTGCTTCACCAGTTTTGCTAGTTTACCTCGTAGACCTGCGTCCCACCAATAATCCAGATGGTCTCAATCAGGTCAGCGAGAGGGGGCTGTGAAGCCAGGTGGACAGCACTCTCAAAGTCTTGGCTCAAGAAATGGGCGTGATCTGGAACCGTCCTATGAGAGGAGGAATGCCCAGCAGATAAAAAAAGATCAACAACAATGAAAACCCAGGACTGTTTTCTGGATAACCCCAAATCTCCCCTTGGTGGTGCAGATGCTTGTGCGTGAGAGCACTCACTTCAGTTCTGTACTCAGAACCACATGCAGAGTATTGGCCAGCGGGAGTGTAGTTTCTGGGTGAGACTGCCAGGTCCGTTTGCCCCAGACCAAGAAGTTCATCTTTCCTGAAACAGATACAATAAAATGTCTGACACTAAACCCCACACCTCAACTACTGCAGCTCTCACATCTTTTCTTATGGCACAAAGCACAGGACTGGGTTTCAAAATTTAATTTTATATCATAATATTCTTAATTTACGGAGAAAATAACTAAAGTGTCCCTTTATGACTATTCCAGTCAGTTAAACTTGGTATAAGTACCAAAATAAAGGCGTGATTTTGGCTCCAAAGTTGTAAAGTTTTTAATGTATGAGGTGGCTATAATATGAGGCAATATTACCTGGTCTTGACACCGTCGTCACAGTCTTCAAAAAGAACTGGAATTCAGATCTGAAAGAGTCACATTTTCAATATTAAATTAAGCAGAAAACAGTCAGTAAGTATTGCTGCGTGTAGTTTCTACATGGAGCAGAGGGGGTCATCCCTATGTTCCCAGCTAAGGTTAGGGTTAGGGTTCCCCGGTCCCATACAAAGCGGGGAACATAGAACCCGGAAAACACAGGACCCGGGGAACATAGGTTCGCTCCCGAGCAGAGAACACCCTGGTGGATAAGACCTATATAGTAGTAGTTATAACACATCAAAACACACAGTATCTTCCTTTTATTTTACTGTATAAGCTTCCCATGAGGCACCACTTACTGCTCTTACTGTCTACTACTAGCAGCTCCAACTGCTACTACTACTGCTGTTTGCTCACTGTACCACTACTAATGCTCCTGATGCCACTGCTACAACTTCAGCATGCTGCTTGTACCATCGCAACTAGTGCTGTTGTCAGTGCCACTAAAACTCTCTGTTCTTAAGCTTTATTGCAATCAATTACATTATCAACAGGAAACTGCCAACTTTTGTAATTTGTCTGTTAAATATACCCAACTTTTCCTTTTTTACAGCTTCTCCTCTGATCACAGCTGCTTTTCATTTTATCATGACGTAATTTTCTCTCAGTTTTTGGCTTTTGAGGCAGTAAAGTAATATTTATTATCATAATAGTATTATTTACTTCTACAATATGCTGTAACCTGTGCAATATTCTTTTTTTTTACTTAAATCACATCTGTATAAAAATACTGCATATAGTGTACATACAACCCTAATTCTATTTATTTCTTGATATCTTGTATTTTCCTATTTTATTGTGTTATTTAATGTGTATTTCTCTTTTTCTTGTCTGCTAAATTATATCTGGAGCTGCTGTAACAAGTCAATTTCCCCAGTGAGGGATCAATAAAGTCTTTCTTATCTTATCTTATACTTATCATCCATCATTTTGGGCTCTTCTGGTCTACCTTTATAGATCCGTTGATTCATTAGAAATAATCCATATTGGAAAGAGTCTTTGCAGCTTATCTAAGAGGCTGAATAAACTTTTCCTTAAAACTTGACATAGAGGTTTGCAGATTATAGAATGATTACTGACTGCCTAATGAGCAGTCCTATTGCACACAGCATACACTGATTTACATGTATAATATCAGGATAATTGCATGCACAAGCTACAATCTTTAGTAACTAGTCTGAATAGAGCATTTGAAGTCCTCATCACAAATAGGTTCACACTTACGGTAGATTCCAGGGCAACTGCCCATCTTTCGCGATCCCATTGCCATTGCAAACTGCTACGATGAGGCGAATAGGTTTCCTCTGCACGGTTTCCATCTTCTACAGGCGCTCAAAGGAAAACAAACCACACAGGAAGCTGAAGACCCGCAGAAGGTTCTGATGGAGTCAGTGTGCCGGAGCCCCTTTATTGATCGGGGTCTGAGCTCCGCTATCACCGCCCACCGACCGGCAGCTGCTATTTGACACGGTGGAGTTTGTCCCCACCCCGGGGGCCTGCGTGATCACACAGCAACGTGACTCACTCATGAGAGGGCTCCCCTATCATTAAACAACCATTGTTTACCAATAGTATTTTAATTAAGGTATACTGTATTACTTTTATACAGTTTGCAAAGCGTAAAAATTCCAATGAGTTGCGCCTTTAGGACACTGACATTCCCAAAAATAAACCTCCTAACACAAAAAAAGATTTAAAACAGTGAAAACATGCAAAAATAAAGTCTCCCTCCAATATGTTTGGCAATGAACACATGTAAGATACATAGATAATTTCCCTACTATACTTACAAATTGGTATAAAAGTCTGTACCTTTTAGAAAAACAGGATAAAAGATCAACACCTACATGGAAAAATGATGTGATAAACAACAAACTATGGCTCAAAGTTCACAGAATGCTGATAAAAGGCAGAAGCACTACCCTGGTTTTATTTTTTAACAGCTTTTAATCACAGTGGATGATATTTCTGACACTGATTAACAGTAACAACTCTTAATATCAAAGTGAGAACAAATCTCTATAAATTAATCAAATATAAAAAATTTAAAAAATATATAAAACACAAAATAACATTACTGTAAGGGAAACACAAGCCCATTGAGATTGCAAATTATTTAAAAGACGTAAGACAGACTTCTGTTCCAGCAGATCAATTAGCGCAGCAGTCACAGGGTTTTTGAACAACAATGAAGTAGGACAACGGATGTGGGAATCGTGGCATTTAATGGGAATGTTTGAACTGTAACTGAAGCATCACATGGCCAGCTGAGATCAAATCTCAAGAAGTCATGCAGGATTTACATAAATGTCATACCATGACATTCTTTTTGTAAAGAGACAGGTGGCATTATAGTGCAAATAACTCAAGAGGGTACAACAATGATTGTCTTTTATTACCTTTTTTAATACAGTTAGAATTTGGTCATTCTTTGTACAAAAATAATAGAATTTACAGTCACATGGGAGACAAAAGCACGTGCATTCACAGAAGAACTTTAGAGTTTTGGTAAGACATTCTTTACAAAAAAGGAGTTGTAAAAACCACCCATGACCAAATATACAAAAAGGTGGAAATCAAAAACAATATATACATTTTTGTTGTTGTTGTAAGGCCTGTTTTGCTTCTAATATTCCTTACTACTGTACATCAGACCTTTTGTGTTCTAAATCTTCAAAAAGCTTTAAACATTATTTACATTCATGACAGTGTGATATTCTTGGTGTGAAATATCTAGGGGCTTGTTTTTGAGAAAAGAGACTACTGTAGGTGAGGGGGGTCCGCTGCACACAACAAATCCTCCACAGGCTCCTGACTGGTTTATCAGTTCCCTTTTACTCAGACGTGAGTGAGAATTCAGATTTTGACACTTTCAGATCCAGGTGTAGAGGCCGAAGCATGCACATCCAGCACATCCAGCTGACCAATGTAATCCTGACCTGACTGATGTTGGGTATTGAGAGAAAAGGGTGTGGGTACTAACGCTTAGTGGTTTTATCACTTGTACAGTGACATACTGTAGTGGAAGACAACAGGTGGCCTCACAGCACCCTTAAGTGAGGACGTTATTGATTTTTTTTTTTGCTGTTTAAACCCTGCAGTTGCACGGTTCTCTCTCTTCAATATTAGTATTTTCTCTCAATTCCTTCCTCTGTTCCTGAGATCCTCAGATCCTGAGGAGAGGATGCTATCCAGATGATAGGGCGGACTGAGGGACCTTTTGCACGCTATTTGCTGTGCCTCCAGGATTTAGAGCTGCTTTCGAGTGGAACCTCTTCACGACGCCGCTTCAGTGTGAACTGTCCTCTTTCTGCATTAAAACATGAGACACGGAGCATACATCAGGAGATGATTTCAAATGTAACTGGTATCAACTTACATTATATTTTGTTAATTGGACAGAACAAACTCACAAATCATAAATTCAACAGTGCAGTTGTTTGCAGAGTAGCAACTTGGCTCAGGGCATTTGATTATTTTTCTATATTTCTGGCTTGTTTTGGCAGAACAACAGTTGCTATGCTCTGTAAAGAAGCCAAATATTCAGTTTTCAGTCCACAAAGGCCTTGAGCAACCTGCAGGCAGGGATACGCTGCCAACTCACCCAAGTCTCATGGGTATTAATTTTAGCTATGAGTCTGATGACTTTGAGTAAATAACATGTGAGTATCTTTTCTGTATTGAACAAATTGTACAAGTGTTTGTATGTATTAACATAGAAAGAACTGTATTTTAAATAATGACCATGTTGACCATCCAGCCTACGTACCTGCTGAAGACATTCCTTCCTGTATGGACGGGGTTTCACAGGACCCTGCTGAGCCTTGTCTGGTCCCTGCGTCAACTCTCTTGCCATTTCCTCCATTGTTGATATGGACAGGTACTGTTGCCAGCAGGCCTGCAACGGCACCAGAGGATTGATTTACCAACAAGACAACACTTGTTTGTGACAATGATAAAGAAACATTCATTTCTTCTTTGACAGTGTGTTATTTTTCCCAAGAGCCCCCGCAGCATCTGGCAGACTCCACAAACATCAGTATATTCCTTCTTTAAGCAAAGCTAATTGATAAGTGGACATTCACAGTTACCACAATGCTGTACATTTATAAAATTATAACAATTATAAAAATCCTGGCTTTTACACCTGGAACTGAAAGCATCCACAGCAGCTGATGAGATTGTTGGTGACATTTCTATGACAAGTGAGTCTAATTTTCTAATCTCTGCTCTGAGGTCACAGAATCATCTGACACCAGTTGAACACCAAGGTTTTAACACCGTAGCATGTGAAACATGCAAAACTGGGGTTTGACAAAGACAAGTTGACACAGATGTGAATGGATATTATTTGCGGGGGAGAAAATGTGAAAATTAGAATTGTCAAATTAACCTTCTGAGCCCTTTTAGGCTCTTTATTTATGGTTTTATATTATGTAGCTATAAGAAAACAGCAGAGCTGTTACAGGGATACCTTTCACCTGGCCCTTATCGATCACACTGCAGTAGCATTTATCTAGTTGTGGCGTCTTCTACGGCAGTATTGTGTAATGCACATTTGTTAGCCAAAGGGATTGCTCTGAAGCAAACAGCAGGTTAGCTTTTAGATCTACAGCCCAACATCATAGTGTGTAGGGTTGATTTCATAAGGAATCCTGGATTGCAGGAATGACTAAAAATGACTTAAACCTGATAGTATATTCAATTTTCTTTGAGATCTTTCTATCTTTATAAAAATAGGTAGCATTCCAGATATTTAAAAATACATTAAAAAGACTGCATAAAAGTGTGAGTTTGAGGTAATATGGGTCATGTTCTTACCCAGTCCTCTGTAGCTGGAAAGCTGCTGGTAAATTTGCTTCATCCGCTCTATGTTGACGCGGCTGGCTTCAGCATGGTTCACCATGGGCTTGGGGTAGTGAACTCCTATGATACACTTGGCTGCCTTCTGCACTTCCTCTGGGGCATTCCAAGGATCATAGATGTATTTGGCTGGAAAGCCTCTCAATATAGGCAAATAACGCCTGGGAAAAGAGAAAGAAAAGACACATCATTGTATCACATTTCACATTTCGGAGGATGTCTGTGGTGTGATGCAGAGAGATTACACTAATACTAATACAAAAATGATATGAAGTTTGAAACTATTTGTTTATATTCATGACGTAAGCATGACAAATCATTTCCCCCATGTGAGGCTGCAAAAGAGCACAAGTTAAGCATGAGATTTTATTTCCCCATTTGACATGACTGCAGGGGGCACAGATACCCACAACACTGTCGGCTTATGAAAGGCCAGTGTTTATATTAATGGGATGCAGATGAAAGTACTGACTTACCGTATATAGTCTCCGTTGGGATCCGTGCGTCGTCCGAATCCCACAGGACAGTAGCAGTGGAAGAACTGCTGGAAAAACGAGCTGCAAGAGAGCCACATCCAGCTGCCTGCATTTACGCTCCAGTCCACATCTATAAGCAGCTCTTCAAACACCTGCACGAGACACAGACAGTGGACAGTCGAGACAATGCATGTTAGTCATTTTAAGCATCAGGGCAGCGGCTGGACACCTTCATTTACTCTTAACTTTCCTTTTAACCTCCTTTCAAACTGTGATGAACTTGTATATATGATCCCCTTTTCTCCATCCTTACCTTCATGCCTTCTTCCCAGCTGATCCAGAGGTCTCCCCTGGTGAGGAAGCAGGCCACAGCATGCCTCGCCAAATGATGGATCCACCCCTCCTGCCTCAGCTGGGTCATGATGGCATCTATCCAGGGAAAGCCTGTTTGTCCCTCTGCCCACTTGGCCAGTGCCTCTGGGTTCCGGTCCCAGGGGATCTGGACACACACAGGGTTTCCCTCCATCTTGTCAAAGCAGGAGTTGTTGGTGGCAGTCGTATAGAAGAACTCCCTCCACAACAGCTGGCCATACAAGGAAAGCGGTGGGCTGTTGTTTTTCTTGACCTGACACATAAAAAACAACAGGATACAAAATGAAGTTGCAGGATGGACTGGTAAGTAATCAGGATTTCAAAAGAAAAAAGTGTAGACATTTAAATTAAATTAGATTTGTTTTTCAGTAAAAACAAATATAAACGTAAAATAGCTTATTCCGAATATAATTTGTTTGTGTTGCTTCCTGTCTCGTCTTTGGTCATTCGTACCTTCCTGTACAGGTCAGTGAGTCTGAAGTAGAAGAGCCGACAGGAGAGACATCCAAAGCGCAGGTAGGGGCTGAGACCTGTGGGACTGGCCAGCAGGGAGTTGGCGTTCATACGTGGACGCTCAAAGTTTGCCACCCATGCCTGCAAAAGAGATGGTCAGTCAGCCTCAAAACCAGACAAATTTAGCTAATTCCAATCTTTGCACATAAAAAAAACTAGAAACTATTGAAAAAGGGAAAAAAAAACATTTTTTTTCAAGTACAGCAACTAAACTGAGAAGGAAGACCAAATGTGTGCAAGATGTGTTATATGATCGTCATCGTGCTTTACCTGTATCTATTTCTATTACAAAATGGGTCATAGTGTTAAATGATATGACTTGAGCTTGGTGAGAGGTCAATCAGCTAAAGCCAGAGTTAATAACTATATTTGTTTCTTAACTTGTGCATATACAATGTGGTAACCGTCTTTTTACCTTCCTCTCCAGATGCCGCTCTAGCCTCATGAGGGCTTCTGTTTCTCCACCTGGCCATATTGCTGTGGTCAGACCCTCTGTTTCAAAGCCTGAAAAAGCAAAATATAGAAGTATAGACTCAAAAACCGACAGTGAAATATATGCTGGATAGTGTTTGTTTATATACACCACAACCAGTGTATTCATGCACACAACATACAGATAGTTACGAATAAAAAATAAAAATAAAAACTTACCAAGCTCTTCCAGAGAGGGAACCCCAAACTTGTCATCATGGTCTTCACTGATGGGTGTGGCACAATTTCTGATAACCTCAAGTGTGATCGTCTCTGCAGGGAGCTCCACAGCATCCATACGGTTGATGAGAGCCTGGAAGCGCTTGTATGTAAGAGGAGGGTGACCATCATTGAGCTCTATGATCCTTTAGAAAAGAAAATAATATAAGGAAACACAAATCAATATAAATCTTCACACAAACACAAACAAGAAGCAGGCAGGGACAATCCGCATTGTTTCAAACAGGTTCATCACTGTAAGATCATTTGTTTCAACTAATAACATATACTCACTTGACCAGATTGTAGAGGGTGTGTGAAACCTGCACCATGACCTCCACCCCAGCCTCACAGGCCAGTTTTTGGATGGCAGCATCACGTTCCTTGCCAAATGGCTCAGAGTCGTATTCATAAGATAAACGGTTGATCTGCCATTCCTGGGGAACAAAGTAATACAAACAATTATATTATATAATGTATTGTTTTGTTTTATAAATGAATGCATGTAAAAAAAATAAAAAAATAAAATAACAAAAAGACCTATAGAGTAACAGAGACCACAATGTCAATGGTTGATTGGTCCATTACAACAAACTGGTTCTGAGTGATTAAACTTATAACTGCGTGGTGTGAGGTTGTTTGATATGTTACTGGGGTCATAAGTGATTTAATTTTCTATTTTTTCAGTTCATTTAAGTTTTAAAATCTGAAAACTGTTTGATGAGCTATAATACTATTTTTGTTTCATCTCTCATACCTTAAAAAGACGAGGGAAGACATCTGTAGGCTGGCCTCTGATGACATACAAGCGTGAGTTGAGTTTGCGCAGGCTGTTGTCCAAGTCCTCTAAACAATGCAACAAAAACCTGGAACCAAAGAGGGTGAAGGATCATTTATAATGGATTATACAGCTGAGATTACCTCCTTACACTGATTTTAGTCACAAGAACAATAATATCTGATGATCCACACCAGAGGTTGACGGTGAATGGAAGTGAAAAATATTACATGGGTTATTACTTTAGTTATCAAAAAGGAGATCTCACAGAATAGCCTGAATGTGTGCGATAGTTTAGAAATACAGCTTTGGGGAATATCAGTGTTTTTTTTTTTTCATAAACTAATATTATGCCTTACAGTAGACTGAGGGGAAGGGGTGTGTGTGTGTGTGTGTGTGTGTGTGTGTGTGTGTGTGTGTGTGTGTGTGTGTGTGTCACATGGGGAACAGTAAAGGATGTGTGGACCATCTCGATTAAGCTCGTTAGATATGCAGCTGTTGCTTTAATAAGAGTCCGTGCTGCATACTGTTGCTTAGCATGTGTGGCAGTTAAAATTAATTCTGCCTTAACTTCATAAACACAGATAACTAGAACAACAATACTAAAGGTTTATGGCCATGTTAGTGGCACTGTGCAACTATAACACTTCATTTCACAAAGTAACTGAATTAATGACCAAGCTATCAGTAGCATTATAGCAGCCAATAATAGCTATTGTCACTATTATTTTCACAACATACCATTTAGAGAAACCATCACTTTGCCTATTTGTTTATCAAAAATGTAAAGACATAATCATAAGGTTCAACACGGCAAAGGCCATACAACTGAAACTGTGAGTTACAGTTATTAAATATTAAATACTAACCTTACAATTAATTTAACTTTAATGAATTGAACTAAACTAAAAGGTATTTCACAAATGTGAACATATATATGTGGTCATCCACTAGCACCAACACAAGAAAGCCAGAAGATGACCATCATTTAATTATCATGTGATACAGACTATATATTTATATAGAGAGACAAAAGTATATGAGTTTATGTAATGAAGAGTCCAGTGTTTTGAGTGTGAACAGGGAGCCCTCTTCTGGTGAAATCTTTGTAGACACACAATCCACCATACACTGCACTTAACAGACAACTACAATAACACAGCAGAGACTGCATTGTCTATAATCAACGTCATTTCTTAACATTTATTACAGTGAGAGGCAGAAAACATAGAATGATGCTTCAGCTTTTAAATTGAACTTTTCTCCTCTAATGCAACCAGCACAATGACAAAAAAAAACATAACTTGCCAAGAAGAGACAAACACAGCACCCTCATACTGTTTATGCATATTATGTGAAAGTATGAAATTCCTTTTTATTCACACCCAATGCCCAATAACTCATTCATTTGCCTTTTTATTAGTATTGGACCATTAATTAATGGATTATTATCTTTTAATGGACCATTTTCTTTTCATTTTTTCAATCAAGAATCAGTTCCAAATTCATCACACCAAGGATTTGTTAACAAATCTGCCTTTTGATACTGTATGTTATTCGTTCCTAAACACAAGTTTAGACCTAAAAACCAAAAGGCCAGAACGACTACTATTGCTAATTTCCACTTATTATATTGAACAATTATCTTTCTATTGCTATTAATGAAGTGTCTATTGCAGATATTGCCATTGTTTTATTGCCCAGGCCTAACCTGAAGTTTGAATAGTTTGTCAAACTATCATTCTCTTGTCCTGGGGTTTCTTATCATTACATAATTTTTCCACCAACATGCACTACATTAATACAGTGCTAACAGTAGCAGGAGCGTCAAAGCTCTGACCAGTTTACAATGCTTAGGCACGCATGTAGGAATTAAAATGGAGAGAACTGAGATGAGGAAAGGCCATAAAAAATGGATCCGATACAGTTAAATATACAAGTGGTGTTACTGTATACAGAGGCTCAGCAGTTATATTGACCACCAGTAAACTAAACTAAATGAAAAGCGGCCCACAGTGATGTTGGAAAAATGTGAACAATGTGGATATATGTGATAAACAGAGTGCACAAAGTAAATATGAGTGAAGAGGGTGGAGTGAGGGTCTGGTGAGTGTGTTTTAAATGTAGGTCAAAGCTCCGAAGGGGCATGATGATGATGATGATGATGATGTAATGACTGCAACAACACACTGACCCAGTTTCTCAGCTCTCCATTCAGGGCTGAGCAGCAGGGTTATTAAGCGGGAAAAATGACTTGCATCGTCACAGCGGTTCATACAGCGTCGACATGAAGGTCAAAATCAATTTCCTTTTCGCTTTAGCAAAGAAATTCGTCCAGAATTGAATAAAATTATGGACTATAGACTGAATTCAAAGAAGATATAGAGCTGTAGAGTGGCTATAGACAAGATATAATGTGCTATTCTGAACAAAAACAAAAAATATATTCAGGGAAAATGTCAGACTATTTTGTATTTTTTTGTATATACTCTTGCATATGTCTCTGTATACATTTAATTAAATTGTCAAAGGAGCGGCTCTTTGTCTGCAACCATTTTCTAAAGCTATCGAGAGGCTAACTGATATAATTAATAGCAAAGGATGAATTCAAAGAGACAGTAAAAAGGAAAAACAAATGCTTATCAAGCTCTGTGAATTCTCAATCATCAGAATTAAATTTAGCACATCTTAAACACTCACTCAACAACCAAAGTACAATTATTGTAAAAGCCAAAACAAGCTTAAAAAAAGACCATTACCTCCAACTATTTGGAACTAGCCAAGGTCATTATCACTAATGATTATCCTACAACAGACAACAGACTGTACATTAATTGAGGGTTTTTCTCGTGGTAGCCCGTACACCACAGCTGGGTGGGCAAACAAACCTGATATGGCTGCTATAAATGGAAAGAGCTTTGATATCAGGCGGAAAGCAAACAAGTATCTTGAAAAATGGCCACCAGAATCAACAGTGATAGGGATAACAGCGGATGTCGAACAGTGGCCGGATTGAGTTTGTTGATGCTGTCTAGATACACTGACACCAAAAACACTAAACAACGCCTGAAGGCACATTCCTATCTGGAAGCAGAATTCCTCAGTCTAATCAAAAGCACATGGACCCTAACCCCAAATGAATTAATTCTGGTTCCTTATGGATGCATTTTTTTTTTTTTTTACAGTCTGAAAACATGTGTTCAGCAGGTTTTTCAGCAGGTTTTTACATGATTTTTTCACCATGTTTTGTGGCATGTTTGCAAAACTCAGGGTGGAGTGACCATGCCAACTTCCATATGGCAACATCCCATGTGTGTTCGGGATGGTAAGATTCACCAACTCCAGATTCTCCAGTGATAATTATGTCCTAACAGTATGTAATGGATTTAGATTTCCCTAAAATGCCACATAAAAATAAGTGCAATCGTGCATTACAGATGAGCTGAATGGTGTGCATATTATTCTGATGTTATCCTGGAAAAATGCACCATCTAGTGTAAAGATATAATTCCTTATGTATGGTGAAATAATGTTTGTAATTTAGGCACTGTTGCTTCCAGTGTTAAAGTGTTATTTCCAATTAGATATAGCTCACTTCCAGTACCATTAAACAGCACAAACACCTAATTGCACAGTATTTACACATAAAGCCTGCTCAGCATTTAACCAAACTGCAAACATATGGCACATTTGGACAGAAGGATAAAAGGTTATGACAAAAGTCAATGGAAGTGGGAGATCATTAGAGGTTAAAGGTCCAGTGATGACACCCTGTCCCCAACCCCCTTACCTCCACCTGTTGATGCCCACGTTGGAGGACCCTGCAAACCAGGGGTCCAGTATGTAAACGCAGCGCAGGGAGTCCGCTCCCCGGATAGAGTCCCTCAGAGACGGGTTGTCGTGCAGCCGCAGTCCCTTCCTGAACCAGTGGATGGTGTTGACCACCATGTCACCTGCCTTCTTTATTTACCCCTGGTAGGGGATTAGAAAAAAGATGAGGGGCAACCACAAAGATGCCCTCCTGTGTTGTTTTGAAAAGCAAAAATAGCAAAGTGTCTTTTTTTTCCTTTTCTTTTTCTTTTCACCCCGTTAGTGATAGATAGGGGATGCGTTCAAATAGTCTGTCCTTAACCTTGCTCCATGAATTCATCCACAGAGTTGAGCCTGTTGACCAGCGGTGGCTGCATGTGTGGACAGCAGGTGACCGCAGCAGACGCGGGAAAAGCTCCACAAAATAAAAACAAAGCAGAAAACGCGCGAATATTTCCAGGTTGTTTTCCACATGTAACGTCTACAATCAAGTTAACGCACTCTCTACCTCGACCATCCCCTCAAATGTTGTGCATAAACTGTAACGCCTGGTACAAATACTAACACGGAAGATGTGCTTTCCGTATCGACAGTCTCCACCCACAGGGAATACGCAGGACGGAATGGAGCGCTCTGATTGGTCAGGAGCGACCGTTATACAACGGCTCCTCTGTCACGTTTCCATAACGTGCTCTTGGTCTGCGGTTGTTATGAAACAATCCGTCGTATTATCCGGACATTTTGTGTCAACTTTACATAATTTTTTTGGCGGCGGGGGGGGAGAAGAAGTAAAACAAAACAAATTAAACCCAACAACCTGTAAAAGTTTCTGATAAAAGCAGCTAATCGGAGGCGTTTGGGAGTGAGTTATGTGTACACTCTGAAGTACCCGGATGAGCACATGCAGCGCGGCGAGGCCTGGGACATATTAGGGTGTGCTCGATTTACAACAGCGGGCGCACCGCTCACACTACAACTGTGCGTTGTCTAATGAGGACACACACCAGCATATTAAAAGATATTAAAAAAATATTCATTCTATTATTATTATTATTATTATTATTTTAGGGGGACACTTTCAACAAACACAGTATCTCTGAAATAAAGCGTTAACCTAAATGATGTTTCTAGTGTCATTTATTGAGTTCGTCCATATAAATTAGTATCTATGACCTCATAGGGCCTAATAATTTAATTGTTAGAGATGATTTAAAGGAGTTTAATTGAAGTCAGCTTGCAGAGACTAGTGCAGCCAGGAAAGGAGGTCCCATTGTGTTTCCAGAGGTTTCATAAAAGCATGCCTCTGCTACAGGGGTGGCTCTAAATGGGTGGCATGGGGTGGTACCCCTGTAAAACGCCTGGCCACCACAGCTGTTTCATGTCAAATGCTGTCAAATTAGTTTAGATGCATTTATATTACAAAATAACATGTTAAAAACAGGCTATATCCCAATTTAATGATTTGTTATTGCCAAATACGCGGTAGGCTTAAATTCAATGAAAAAAGACATGTAATCTGGTCAATGTTTCACTAATGTGCCACAATAATGTAATTTTATGAGTTAAAATGTCTATATTTTATAATGAGAGATTTGTGTGATTATGTAAACATTAAGAAAATTAAAGCTAAGCTGGAGAGAAGACTATATGTCTAATGTAGGTTGGATTTCCCCTTTATATAACATTGTAAGCATGCATGGCAAATCGGGCAATTTTTAATTTACATTTTGTTTTGTGTGTTGCTGAATAGGTTATTGCATTTTTAGGGTATAACTTAAATAGCTTAAAAGCATTTTTAACCCACACGTCTCTCTACTCCACAATAAATGTTTGATTTTAATTACACTATTAATCAAAATACCATTGTTATTTAAAAGGGGTAATGCTAATACTTTTGCAGAATTATATAATCTGTTTCTGCTGCTTAATATCACAAAGAAAACCCACTGAAAGAGGAAAGAGAATGCACTGTACTAAGTAAGAAGAACGTAGGCCTATTTTATCACCCTGGAGCAGGGTGTCACAAAATATTATTGCTACAGACCCAGGCCTGTGGAGCTGTACAGTATATCTGCTATTAGGCTATAGTAAGTATCTGTCTTTAGAGGCTTTTAACTTCTTCAGAACATTACAGCTGACAATTTCTATTTCTGTTGTAGTCATCTAGAATAGACTAAGAGGAAAACAGCTTTGCTTTTAACACCCTGCTCAGTGATTCAGAAACTGAGCTCCATGCAGTAACCGAGGTCTGAGCAGTAACTGAGGTCTAACAGTAAACTGTAAAGTCTGCACTGTCACGAGATGAGTTCCTTTAGCTGCTCCAGAAACTCTATTGGTGACCTAGTTCCTGGGCCACAGATCCCTCACTTCCAGAGTAAATTATAGTGGGTGTACCTATAAACCCACAGCATGCTGTTTCTCAGGGCATATTGGCTCCCCAGCATCTCATACTCCAAGTTGCTCACTCAGGCCATCTTAGTGTAGATGATAAGAGGGGTGATGGACCACGACACTGCAGGGGATCAGCTTCTGGGTTTGTGCTGATTGTCTTTGGTGCAACTATTGTTGTATGGTGGCATTTTCCTACTCAGTGATCAACCTTTCCTGACTTCCTTACTTTTTCCAAAAGCCAACCGTGGTTCTAACTCTCCTAACAGTTGAATTGTGGTGATTTCTCTGATTGCTCCTGTCAATGACTTGGCTACACCTAGTTGCACCGTAAACAACGTTTTGAAATAGTTTGTGCTGAGTGAAAGTATGCTGCATTATTCTTTTAGGTGCTTGTAATCAGAGCTAATAGTTGTGAAATAATACTGTGAAATAATAAAAAAAAAACAGTAGAAAAACATGCAATAATTACATGTAGCTATGTAAGTGGACACTAGATGGCAGTATTAACCAGGAATTGTTTTTGGAAAGGCCTTCAGGTTTTTATTTGCTTTGGATTCAGCTGTCTCAGCTCTGGCCAATGTTTGACACAAAGAGTAGTTTGCAGTTATTCTGCCCAGCATGTGTTCAGTCAATGTCTCAAGTTGATTGACAATACAATTAGCACAGTGCTGTGTAAAAGAGTGTAAAAATGTTAATATCAGCATGCTCATGTTTAGTGGATAGCCTATAATGTCTATAATGTTCACCAACTTAGTTAAGTATTATAGCATGCTAACATAATTAGCTCTAAACACAAAGTACATTTGAGGCTTGTGGAAGCCTAGAACGGCTGTGCTTGCAATTATTTTCTAATGGCGTTATCTTGGAATAACAAAAGGCAGATTTCTGTAGGAAATTAGATAATTTATCACAAGATAACGACTTTTGTATCCTCGAAATCATGGGGTAATTGTGAAGAACTCGAAAAATAAGCATCTAGTTCATTATTTGCATTGCATTTATTCTCTGTACTTAACACTGTGATCTTTTGCACATACTATATTCTGCACTAACAGCTTCCATTTAAAATAACAACATAAAAATAACAATCATATTGCAAATATTGTTTCTTATTGTCTTTATAATAATTTTCGTATGTTATTGTGAATTTTCTATTTATGCTTCTTGAGCTACAGTACGGTCTTTCGTCTTTATTTATATGTTTCTTGTTCTATGTTTATTGTCATGCACCACATATGTGAAACCCTTCTTGGCAATAAACCTGATTCTGATCCTGATTTGATCACACCTGATTTCAGCCTTCAAGATCACTGTCATGACTGTCCTGGGGTAGATTCATAACTAATAAACAAAAAGACAAGAGTTGTTACCGGAATGGACCTCTGAGAGTTAATTTAATTGAATGCATTCTTTCATGCATTGTCCGTTATTTTGAACCAATGTTTCATCTATATTGAGCCTTGCATGCTGGCTCTATGATAAATATTATAAGCAAGAGGAAATGATTATCTTGTTATCTTGGGAGACAACGATATTCAAAAATAATTCTAAGGATGGCCGTTCTTGTCTTCCGTTATAGTCAAGTCAACAAAATATTGCACAAAAATTTGGTCTGATGACTAGAAGGGATTGCCAGAGTTATTACAGTCCATCCTAAGGGGACATATATAGCCAACCAAATGTTATGGCAATCCATTCAATAGTTGTTAAGACATTTCACTCACAAATGTAATGTAAACCTGATGGCGACATGCATTGTCTGGGAGCCATGAATGACTGTACAAAAGTGCCAATCAATCCAGGAAAAGTCCACCTAAGGATACCTCCACTGGGCACCATTAATATCTGTACCAAATTCCATGGCAATTCATCCAATAGTTGTTAAGATATTTAAGTCTGGACCAGTGTGGTGGACAGACCAACAGACCATCAGTTGGCTTGAAAACAGGTCACTTGGTTTGTCCTTAGGCTTCTGATGGGTTTTAACTAGAAAAAGGCTTTTGCCACAAAATCACCTTTTTTAATTACCTCATTTGGAGTTGTGCTGCCTCTGACATGCTGCTCCTTCTAAATTAAGTTTGATTAAAGCACTCCCTTGGCTAGAAAGGCTAATTTGCGCCCCAACATAGACATGAAACGGTTATATTAAATTATCCTCCAGGACTATATAAATGACCTTCAGGGTGAGTTTTATAACCCAATTTAGCTGCTTTCATTTTTACAAGAACTGATTCTCCAAAATTATTTGGTGCCCAACATCGTAGCATTTTTATCCTCAAAGGATCAAGGTGTTATGGGGATTCAGTGATGTTACTGAATTAAAATGATTAAAATCAATCTCTCTGTCTGAACCTGTAGAAAGAGGGCATTACTGTTATGAAGACAGATCTGTCTCAATTTTTCTGTGTTTTTTTCCTTTTAAATTATAGGATAAGATCTGATTTAATAACAGTAACGTGTGTGACAATGTCCCAGATTGTGTGACAATACCAGGTGATGAGGACATGCTTACTAAGTAATCCTCAATGATAATCTACTAAATTGCCCAAGATTTCTCATGAATACTCGACATCCTACTTAAATATCTCAGTCCCCTTTCACCTCTGTTGTCCAATGTGTCGCTGACCTTTCTCATCCCACTGCATCCTTTGGTGCTGTGGAGACCTTCCTGTGAACCTTGCAGTAATGTATGGGGATAATCATTTACACCGCTCACATTCAGAGCAGAGAGAGAACCTCCTAAAACTTAATATCAATATGAGGTTGATTTGGAGATACATGTTTTTTCTGTCACACATCCAGCACTGTCCTTTGTATGACCTTGACAGACTGAACATTAGTGTGTCCTTTATATGTAATGGATATCTACAGTATTCACATGCTTGTAATGTAGATACGGACAGGCCTTTTCACCGCAGACACGTTGACTTGTCGCCGTAGGATAAGGGCAGGTGTAACTAAAAACACTGACTGTGACTCTGTTCTATTCCCAGTAAAAGTGATAGTGTGGCAGAGAGCCAGCATGAACAACACCATCAAACTGATGCAGCCAAATTGAATTCAGCCAACAATGATTTTGTTTATTTGTTTGTTTACTCATTAAGATCCCTATTAGTTTATGCATAACATTAGCTATTCTTCCTGGGGCCCACACAGTTTACATGGTGACAATACAATACAAATATACACATTCACATTGCTCATCAC